AAACAACCAGCGCATATGCTTACTTCTCGAAAGCCACCAAAATAAAAGCTTGGTAATTTAAGGTTTGAAATGTAGAAAATGTATATAAAAAATGCTAAAAAAAAAAAAAAAAACATTAAAATGTAAATTATTTTAATTTAATAAAATGTAATGTAAATTTAAAATATAATAGTAGTATAACACTTTATTTAGTTATTTAATAATTTCTTATTAGTTATATTTAATTTATATTAATAGTAAAACAAAATATATAAATGAAATAAAATTATAAATTTAATAAAAGTTATATTTATAATTTATATTTACAGTCATATATATATATATATATATTGACATTTGATTCCAGCTGTGTCTATTTTGTCCCTCGTTATCCTGTGTTTATAAGCCCCAGTCTGTTCAGTTTAGTTTGTCGGATCTACTTGTTGTGAACGACATCTTTGTGCTCTGTGTCTCTTATTTGAATCATTAGAGAAATCTCTACGTCTCCTCATTTCCTCGTGCCCATGCATCCATTGTGACAGAAGATCCGACCAAAACCGTAACCTCCGTGTCTACCCTCCGTTTTTGTTTTTCGCTTTTCTTCATCCCGAATACCTCCTCTTCCTGCTGGAGCAGGGGGACAAAGCTCTCGAGGACCATACTAGACTGTTCCAGCTATAATTTATTTATTTTTTTTAAACTAATAAAATAGCTAAATTACTAATACAAATTCAAAAAAGATAAAAAGCTCATTCAAAATATTTTTACCAAATTTTTCTGTTGTCTTTCAAACATCAGAGATCCAACAAATCACAGAAAATCCTCTAGGTGGCAGTATTACTATAACATGTAGCAGGAACACCCACATTAAAAACGATGATGGTTTTAATTAAAACCTATGCTGAGTGAGAAGTGAGAAACCATGAGAAGTTTTTACCATGAAACTTGATCTGATTTCTGTCAAATTAGGCTTGACTTTAAACTTCTTAATGTTTTTTCCCCCACTTTTTACTGATAGACATTGAGGGATACCAAAGAAAAAACAAGAAAGTATACATAAGGACAAGTAAGAATGGCTTGATTTTGCAATATGTGCAACAGAATCTTACTTTCATGGCATGGACAACAGCCTCTGGTTTCTGTGCAGCCGGCAGATCACCTCCTGGCATCCGCGCAGACCCCTGTAGACAGATGGACACACATTCATCACGATCAAAAATCACTCATACTGCCCTCTCAGATTACCAGAAGTGATTTGAGCACTGCAAAACCCCATGGCTGTTTCTCTGAGTCAACTCAGGCTTGAAATGGGTTAAAGCATCTCATTATAACTCATCTCTGCTTGGACCCCCTTCATGGGTACACATCAACAAAGAGCTCTTTCAGTGCACGGGGTCTGGTGTGCCCCTGTTTAGACACAGCCCTTTGAGTCCCATTCTAGAGTTAAATCCACAACAATTGAGCTGGCATTTCAGCACTGGGGTCGGGAGAGGACCCCTGGATGGAAACTGCGGCTCGCTTTTGGCCTGGGAGAACAGGACTGTGATGTTCACTTGCAGTTGCCAGCAGGTTTATTAAGGGCTGGAACCGTGGGGACTGTACCCTGGACTGACCCGAGTACATCCCGTACCAATGGTCGCTGACATGTGTCGGCCAGCAGCCTGATTAGAGAAGCCCAGGAGTCCCACGATTCATTCTGCATGGATTCAATTGCCAGTAAAAACCAAGCAGTGCTCGAATATGGATTTTTCTAAAAGCAAATGCCAATATCTATTCAAGGCCTCATATGGTAAAGTTGTATAAACTATATTGCAGTTGAATTACTTGAGATTAAATGTAAGCGATTTAATTCCCATCTTTTGGGTATAATGTCACAGTTCACTTTATTTTGCTATCCTTACTTACAGTACATAAATGAACTATAGTGTCCTGCACCCACTAGTAAAAAATATAAAAAATTATATCTGGTGTCTGAATAATTTTTGGTTTGTAATTAATATAAAAATAGAAATAATAATAATTAAAAAAATAATATTCTATGCAATTACACAATTATATGCTGAATGTCACAATAATATATATTTAATATAAAAATGTTAATATAGATACATATTAAATAATATAAATATATGATTCTATTACATATTAAATAAATTCACAGTTTTTACAAATTATTCACAGTTATTTTTCTTGTGTAGACTGTAGATTGATGTGAATATAAACAATAATTTAAAAACATTTTAGCTTACGGCCCTTTAAAAAATTAAAGTGTGTGAATGTTTTCTTTATTAAAAACTATTCAATGCAACTCACTTACATTCTATTTACATTCCAATATGTTGAAATGGGCTCAGAATGCTACAGAATAGCCTTGCGTGCATTTATTCTGTTGACCTAAAACACTATTTCATCAGATTATCGATTACTCAAAATAATCCATTAAGAAGCAAGTGGCATCTCCAGGCATTAACATCAAATAAGTGATCATCGCATTTGTTTGGAGCCCAGTTTTGAAGCCTTGGCATGAGGAACATCTGTGTGATTGACTAGTGTGCCTGTGCTGTCACAAACAGAGCAGAGGACTATAGATGCAGCCAAATTTCATCGTTATAGGCCTATCAAATCCAAGTCCAATAATATTAGATATTCTGAAGAGCCTTACTAATGCCTCTATAAACTCCCACTGCTTATCTATCATCTGTTTAATCTGCGAAATGCATTGATCATAAACACCAATTCACAGACTATATCCAGGAATAAACAAATCCAACGATTAGACCACATGAAAACTGCTATGCATATAACCTTACGCTGAGGTATGCAACACGTTTCAATAAAGAAGACAGGAAAATGTAGATGTTACAGGTGTACAAGTTATACTGCCATTTAAAAAAATAGCTAAATTGTAAAAAATTTTAGCCTCAAAAACAGTCTGTTTTTTCTTAGTCCGGATGTAAAGACATTTATAAGATCCTGGGCAGCTAAAACAAGCACTTATGAGGAACAAATAACCATATTTGCAAAAATTCGCAACATCAAAACTTTAAAAGATATGGGGCCAGTAAGAATTTTGTGGGGTTTTTTTTGGTTTTGTCCGAAAGAAATTAATATTTTTATTCAGCAAGAATGCATTCAATTGGCCAAAAGTGACAGTAAAAACTTTGATAATGTTACAAAAGATTGCTATATCAAATAAATGCTGTTCTTTTAAACTCTTCTGTGTCCTGGCAAGAAAGCATCATGGCTTTCACAAAAATATAAATCAGCACAACTGTTTTCAACACTGATAATAATAAGAAATGTTTCTTGAGCACCAAATCAATCAAATGATTTCTGAAGGATCATGTGACACTGAAAAATGATAGCTCTTGAAAATTCAGCTTTACCATCAAAGGAAAAAAAAAAAATATTTTAAAATATATTAAAATAGAATAAATGTAATATTTTATAACATTACTGTTTTTACTGAACTTTTGATCAAATACGGACCCCAAACTTTTAAATGGTATTGTGTATATATACATTTACATTTACAGGTGCATCTCAATAAATTAGAATGTCGTGGAAAAGTTCATTTATTTCAGTAATTCAACTCAAATTGTGAAACTCGTGTATTAAATAATTGAGTTGAATTACTGAAATAAATTAACTTTTCCATGACATTCTAATTTATTGAGATGCACCTGTAGTCATTTAGCAGACACTTTTATCCAAAGCGACTAACAAATTTTAATTAATGTCAAAAATCACAGTATTTCCACACTACATTTTAATAGAGTTAAGCAACTCTAAAACAGCACCAATCTGCTCTGATTACCTCTCCTCAGGTAACTGCTAACAACAGCAACCAATCTGCTTGCTTCTACGAACCTGATAATTGTTTCAGCAGCTCGCCGCTGCATTATTTAGTGCCATCTCCTCCCGTGATTAAAGCGAAAGTTCAAAGCCATGCTAATGAAGCCATGAGTTCGCAGACAGGGCTGAGACGAGCTGGGATAAAATAAGTCCAGCAGCCTCTGAGGACGAGACCCACACCACTCTCTAATTGATTTCTCCTTCCTGTGGAAGCTGTCCCTCATATTAAAGTGGAGCAGCTGGGCTGTTTTGGCTTGTCAGAGCTGATGAGTGCACTGATTAGCTAAAGCACCAGGTTCGCAGATGACCTTTTTTGAGGACACGAGTGGAGGGGAATGATGATGATGATGCTAATAATGATATTTAAGGAGAAGAGAGGAATAATAAAATAACTTTTAAGGACAGAACATATTCAACAGCATTCAGTTTCATCCCTTACAGCATTGTGGGCTTTGTCATTGGAAATATTACACTAGGGTTGGCTGAATTGCTCCTATAAGGTCATTTTTAGGTTAGAAAGGATATCTAAAACAAGGAACGGATCAGCACTGAGACAGTCTCCAGCAGAGATCAGAGTACAACAAACCTCCTGCAATCCACAGGAAATGACCTACGCGTACAGCATCTTTCTTCTTCTTTTATCTGTGCTGCATTATGCATATTAAAATAATAAAACAGTTCTCATCCCACTACAAGAAAAAGTATATAATACAAAATACACTATCGTTCAAAAGTTTGGGGTCAGTAAGATATTATTTAAAGAAATCAATACTTTAACTTCATCAATTTTCAACATTGATGATAATAATAAGTGATGCTGAAAATTCAGCACTGCCATTAAAGGAATAAATGCCATTTTATAATATATTAAAATGGAAAACATTTGTTTTAAATTGAAATAATATTTCACAATATTAATGTTTTTACTGTATTTTTGATCAAATAAATACAGCCAAGAGACTTCTTTCAAAAACACTGAAAAATCATACAAATCCCAAACTTTTGAACAGTAGTCATTTTACAGTAGAAGACCAATATTTATGCAGAGATATGAGAAATTGTATTTTCATAGAGCATGAATGTGGATGATTGCCGCAGGAAATGTCATTAAATACTAGATTATGTGTTTTTCTAAAATGCCATAAACCTATTAGAATTTGTACGTGCCTAGCAAACAAAAATGTATATGATGTATAAATCGTGAACTAAAATATAAACTCCATGAATGAGTTTATTTAAGACATGATGTGGAAAAAGTGTAGAACTCAATCTGTCACACTAGAAAGATCCAAGACTGGTTGTGTGATTACAAGATAGTAAAGTATCAAACCCTTTAACCCTCTAGTCTCTCCGAACACTATAGTTGGTTGCAATATAGGCCAGTATACCATACCATATCATACTGATTCAATAATTCTAAGGGGAGATTTCAATTGCTGATGCTGATAACTTCATCAAACATCAGCTAATTATTATAAGCCTCTGAGTTGTTAATATGACTTAATTTGTAATAATGAGTGGTCATATACTGCCAACACAGAAACTGTCCAGACAGTGTTACTTCCACTTGCTTTACTCCAGATTTTTGGCATGGGCCGGACAGTCGCTGAGGGACCCAGAGAGCACTAACACAGCAACAGTGTTTATAAATACAGCTGCTGCCTGACCTCATCTTACCATCTCCTCTGGTGTTGATCAAGACAACATTTAAACACTTAAAACTGACAGTACTGCAAATCTTATTGTTTTTATCTGAAGAACATAAACCACAACAATGATCGAGCTCATCTATATGCTTGTGCTTTTGCAAAATACATTCAATATGACTTAAAAATAAAGATCTAGCAATCCAAGCACGAAGAAACCACAAGAACACCTTCCCAGCTTCTATCATTATGGGCATAAACCTGAAAAAAATGAAAAAAAGCTTTCGTAATAGAGCAGAATGTGCTGTCCTCAACATATCTGACTTCAGAATGATAACAAAACCCCTGCAAAAATGTTTGCGAATGAAAAATAGATAGTAGATGGCACGTGATATTTCCTGAGTGGTGATCTGAAAAGAGGGTAAAAGGTAAAAGAAAGCAAATCAGAAAGCTCTGGAACTGAGAGGTAATGTCAGTCACTCTTCATAAATAATGAAATTATTTTATTATAAGAAATTTAGCCAAAAGGCACCTGTCTAAAAACTCTTACCGCTGCATATTTGAGTGTCACAGCCATGAAATATCTTCTAAACAAGAGAAACCTTGTAAAAGGACATGACCTTTCCTACTTTCATACCTTTCTAAAACAGACAACAGATTAAAATCTCTCTACACAATAAAGAATGAATTCATTTCCTCCATAGTAAAACCATCTGTGTGTGATTATCCCTATTTTGGCTTTCTTGTCCCTCAAATTGATGGCTGTTGTGTGCAAACAGCGCACAAAGGGATTATCGAGGTTATGAACTTTTTCAGGGAAAACTGGTTGTTACAAAAACGTTCTGCTATGTCTACGTGTATACGTTGTGTAATTGTCCACGTGTAACACACACGCTCAACAAGGCTGCATTTATTCTGCATTAAACTGATCAAAAGTGACAGTAAAGACATTTATAATGTTACAAAGATTTCTATTTCAAATTACTGTTTTTACTTTGAACCTTCAAATCATCAAAAACATCTTGAAATTATCATAGTTTCCACATCATGTGACACATGATTCAATGAAAAACCTATTAAGTTATTATTTAATTGTTAATTATTATTATAATGGCCCCTTTAAAAATAAAAGGTATCTTCTCAATCTTTTTGAATCAAACAACTTACTTAAAAGACAAAAAAGACGAGTGAAATTAATTCCCTTCTGCCCACAATGTTCTACTGAGCATGCATAATTGAACACAGGTTTGACCCTATGAATGAGATATTTGGCATGGACTGATGACCCTGCAGGTAACAACATTCTTCTTTTCTTAAGCCCTAGATTACACAGCTAAACGCAGCTCACTATGTGGAATACAGTGACAAAGTTCCATCAGCTAAAAGCCATGTAAATAAAACGCTCATATTTCCTTAAGTAACAGAAAGAATGCCTTTGATCAGCCATTCTTGAACAATATAATACCCAGAACAAAGTATACAATACTTGCATATTCTGAGATATCTTTCCTTGAAGAATTGAGTTATCGATGGAGGCAATAACAGGAAAATGAGGCTTCATCCATCATCAGAGAATGAACAATATGAAGACATAGCATTAGAATATCAGAGAAGAGCGTATGCAATTAAACTGACAGCAACTAGTCGCCTGTGCCGTCTAAATATATTGAGATGGATGTGCTATCTTTGACTATAAATCTGGGCTTAGAAAATGGGAGATGAAGACCGTCTGAAAGAGAAAATTGTTAGTGACAGATCTGTATCTTTGTCTCATATAACTGTGTTCAACTGTGGCCTTTTGTTCAAAGCTCTGACAGTGTCATAATAAGAAATCAGAGTCCCATTTCAGCATCAAAGCTTCGAGATTCAGCCAGAGTTATACATCTAAGTCTTAGTGCAATGACATTCATTAAAGGAACAGTTCACCCACAAATGAAAATGTGCTCAGGCCATCCAAGATACAAATGAGTTTGTTTATGCATCAGAACAGATTTGGTGAAATTTATCATTACATCACTTGCTCACCAATGGATCCACTGAGTCTGCAGTGAATGGGTGCCGTCAGAATGAGAGTCCAAACAGCTGATTAAAACATCACAACAGTGTTAATTTTGACAGCAAATTTTGATTACGGTTTAGTCATAGTCTTTTGACTAAAATGCCATTTAGTTTTAGTCATATTTTAGTCATCTGAATTGTTTTTAGTTTCAGTCTAGCTTTAGTCGACTAAATATCAAACGATTTTAGTCAGCTAAATCTACAGCAAATTTAGTTGGCTAAAATCTAATGGGTTTAGTTACAGTGTAATGCATTTATTAGCATTTCCCTCAAATTTCCAAACTCATTATATAGGTTTGATATTAAGGTTATATCATGATAGACACTGATTTAACTGCGGTGACACACAACATGTTAAAATTAAATAAAACCACTTCTCATAAAGAACAAGAACATGGTCTTCTTATTAATGAAATACCAATGGTTATATAGGCTAATTATGCATTCTTTATAACAACTTGTTTACCATATTCTTCATTCTTTCAAGCAGACATATTTATTTCTATAAATAAATACTAAAGCTTTTCAGTCAAGAGCAGTGAGTGATTTTCTGTCTTTCTTTTGTTGCTTGATTAACATCAATGACTTGGACAATAGCAACTAAATTAGGCTGCTGTCCCTTTAAAACCAAATGCACAGCTGCAATGGATGCAATGTACTGATACACGTTCTCTCCGCTGTTTACGTTCACTTAAGACGTAATCAACTGTGTTTACGTGAATACTCGTCAAAACGGACAATTCGACATCAGTTTGTGTGTAATTCTCCGTTCATGCGACGCGAAAGAGTACTCGCACGCTGCGAGACAAGCTTTCCGTGTGTGTACGCTTCAGTGTCTATAACAAGATAATGCAGCCTGGGAATAAAATAAAACAATTATAATACAATAATACAGTCTGAATTGAGCAGCTCTCTCTTGAGTCGTCAGATTTATCCATATGTCTGCTCTTCTCTTACTCCCACATATTGACATTTTTGAACGTTTTATGAGACGTGCAGCAAGTGAATTAGCTTATGTCCCGCCGGTTCATATGTACGCATTTAACCTCCTAACTATGCAGCAGATTCGTTCTGAATAAATCTCTTCCCAAATAGTCCCTCCCTAACATTTTCGTCTCGTTTTTATTCGTTGACGAAAATGTCAATACATTTTCGTCATAGTTTTTGTTATTCAAAAAGAGTTTTAGTTCGTTATCGTCGCGTTGTCGTCGGTGAAAAAAATGTCATTGACGAAAATTATAACGAAAATGATTTGTCAACGAAATTAACACTGCATCACAACAATCCACAAGTAATCCACACGACTCCAATCTATCAATTAATGTCTTGTGAAGTGAAAAGCTACACGATTGTAAAAAAAAATCCATCAATAAAAGGTTTTTTAACTTTAAACTGTTACTTCTGGTGAAATACCAGTCCATAATTCATAATAATGCTTCCTCGACTTAGAAAGTCCATCCCCTGTTATCCTCTTACACCAAAAACCACCAACATATTTGCTTAGAACTGTTTTTGTAGAGTGTTTTTGCTTGTAGGCGGTGCTTGATCTGTGCATGTTTCTCTCCCGACTCAGATAAGTCAGCTTTTTCACAGTTGAACAGTTGAATTTAGATCTACATGACCACTTTTCACTCTCTTTGGCCCTTAGAATTCTACTGGCTGATATATTAATATGTATATTTCTATATGAAAATGACCCTGTTATGATTGGTTAACCTCTGGATTCTGAACTAGGAAGGAAGCTTTGCGTTTTCATGACATGTACCTTACTATCACATTACCAGAAGAGTTTAAGGTCTAGACTCTTACCTGGGATAACAATTGCTTGTTGTCATCCTCTAAAATCCGGACTTTAGTCTCAAGTTGGCAGATGTAGCTTGAAGATGAATCTGCACAAAGAATAGAGGGGACAAAAGAGAAATTAATTAGAAAATTTGGAAAATGGCATTTTTGTATATAGAACATCACATGAACTATAATTTAAAAGTTTGGGTCAGTAACATTTTTGTATGTTTTTGAAAAAAGTCATGCTGTATTTATTATATAAAAAATACAGTAAAATATTAATGTGAATTGTGAAAATTGTTAAATTACACTACAACTTGAAATTATTCAGAATCATTTGAATGTTGATTTGGTGCTCAAGAAACGGTTCTTATTATTATCAATGCTGCTTAATATTTTTGTGGAATTTCAGAATTGTTTGACTAATAGTAAGTTCAAAAGTTCATTTATCTGAAAAAGAAGTATAAAAAAATATAATAGTCTTTACTTTTGCTTAATTTCATGCATCCTTGAGAAATAAAAGTATTCATTGCTTAAAAAAAACTTTTTGGACAGTAGTGTGTGTGTCTGTGTGTATATATACAGTTTTCGTCTCGTTTTTATTCGTTGACGAAAATGTCAATACATTTTCGTCATAGTTTTTGTTATTCAAAAAGAGTTTTAGTTCGTTATCGTCGCGTTGTCGTCGGTGAAAAAAATGTCATTGACGAAAATTATAACGAAAATGATTTGTCAACGAAATTAACACTGCATCACAACAATCCACAAGTAATCCACACGACTCCAATCTATCAATTAATGTCTTGTGAAGTGAAAAGCTACACGATTGTAAAAAAAAATCCATCAATAAAAGGTTTTTTAACTTTAAACTGTTACTTCTGGTGAAATACCAGTCCATAATTCATAATAATGCTTCCTCGACTTAGAAAGTCCATCCCCTGTTATCCTCTTACACCAAAAACCACCAACATATTTGCTTAGAACTGTTTTTGTAGAGTGTTTTTGCTTGTAGGCGGTGCTTGATCTGTGCATGTTTCTCTCCCGACTCAGATAAGTCAGCTTTTTCACAGTTGAACAGTTGAATTTAGATCTACATGACCACTTTTCACTCTCTTTGGCCCTTAGAATTCTACTGGCTGATATATTAATATGTATATTTCTATATGAAAATGACCCTGTTATGATTGGTTAACCTCTGGATTCTGAACTAGGAAGGAAGCTTTGCGTTTTCATGACATGTACCTTACTATCACATTACCAGAAGAGTTTAAGGTCTAGACTCTTACCTGGGATAACAATTGCTTGTTGTCATCCTCTAAAATCCGGACTTTAGTCTCAAGTTGGCAGATGTAGCTTGAAGATGAATCTGCACAAAGAATAGAGGGGACAAAAGAGAAATTAATTAGAAAATTTGGAAAATGGCATTTTTGTATATAGAACATCACATGAACTATAATTTAAAAGTTTGGGTCAGTAACATTTTTGTATGTTTTTGAAAAAAGTCATGCTGTATTTATTATATAAAAAATACAGTAAAATATTAATGTGAATTGTGAAAATTGTTAAATTACACTACAACTTGAAATTATTCAGAATCATTTGAATGTTGATTTGGTGCTCAAGAAACGGTTCTTATTATTATCAATGCTGCTTAATATTTTTGTGGAATTTCAGAATTGTTTGACTAATAGTAAGTTCAAAAGTTCATTTATCTGAAAAAGAAGTATAAAAAAATATAATAGTCTTTACTTTTGCTTAATTTCATGCATCCTTGAGAAATAAAAGTATTCATTGCTTAAAAAAAACTTTTTGGACAGTAGTGTGTGTGTCTGTGTGTATATATACAGTATATATATATATATATATATATATATATATATATATATGCATTCCTCTTATTTTCAATTCAATCCTTTGAGATCAGGACAGTTAATAGAGTCAAGATGATCAGCAGTTCTGTGTGGCCCCTATTTTTTCAACCTGTGTGATTTTTTTCGGCCCTACTCAAGTTTCTCCAAACATAATTTCTTATGTTATGAAAACCATTTTACTGTGAAAACTCCCTAAAAGTGATTTAGTAATCCCGGAAACTGAGTCATGTTGAAATAGTGCTCCTTTCTATTAGGCACTGACATACAATACCATATCCCAGAATGCACTGCGGCTACACGAGTTAAAGAGAAGACATCTGTCAAAGCAAAAGTAAGACGCTAAAAGACAAACGTTTTGCACAGTTCACATCCTACATGATCACATAAAGGCTTATATACTTTAAAGAGGTCATTTAGACAACAAAGAAATCTCAAATCAGGAAATCTACACTGCCTTTGACACACACAAGCTGCTTTCATTTAAGCCATTTGACATTTGTCTCCAACAGAATCAGACGTCAAAGAAACTAGAAGCAAGGGTAAAAAAACTGATTTCATGTCTGTGAAGTAAAACCCAATGAATCAGGATAAAAAAAAAAAAACTTTTTTGAAGAGGATCCTGAGTGATCCTGTGTTTGGTCTTGTGTGTATGCTGCATTCCCAGCATGCCTTTCATGACCTTTTGGTGATGGAAGGCCTGCCGGCCTGAGTAGATGCAAAAAGTAGCCTCTGCCTCGTAATTTTATGTTTAAAATCCACAAATATCCCTTGCGTACTAGAAACCCTCCTGAAAGAGACCAAGAGGTGCTTAGTTATCTAAACATACTAAAATATCTAAATCCAATGATGAGTCATCTGGCCAATATCGCGAAATAAACCCAAACAGGGTGATCAGGACCCAGAAACAAAACAGAAAGGTCTTGTATCAATCAACTAAAAAAAAAGTAAATTAAAATATTTTTATGTGAGAAAAACATGATAATGCAGCCTGGGAATAAAATAAAACAATTATAAAACAATAAAACAATTTAGTTGTCATTATGCAAATATATTTGCTTGCCGAATGCAACAATTGACCAATCAGAATCAAGTGTTCAAGAGAGTCATTTGGTACATAATTATAATTTCTTGTATTTGAATCACATGATACAATGTCAGCATTTTTTTTGTTGTGTTACAAATTCCAGAAGACAGATGTCATGAGGGTGATGTGGGTGCCATGCATTGGCACCATTCAGGAGTGAAGACTGAAGAGATTAGCTGTTTGAGAGTATGCACACGCACACACTCACGTACACAAACACACACAGAGTGTGTGTCGCACAGGAACTAAGTAAGGATTGTGGGATTGGACAGATAAAGGTAACGGAGACCTTCAATGACAGCAGAATGAATCATCAAGGATTTTCTTGCTTTCATTTTCTCTGAAAGACCAAGGGGCTCTTAGGTGACAGAATAGGGGCCTCCTGTTTAATACTGTATACAAATGAGTTTTGTATTTTAAGCCTGGCCTAAACTAACATTTTATATAGTACCATATTAAATGATTTACATTGCACAACAATTAAAATAATACAATTTAATAATGAAACATTTATCCTTTAACGTTTTTATTTATGAAACATTTATTAGTTGAAGTTACCTAAATTTTTCTTTTATTTTATTTAAAATGATATTTTATACACTACATATTAAAAGTTTGGAGTCTGTAAGATTTGAAAGCTTTTAAAGAAATTAACAAGGATGCATTAAACTGATCAAAAATGATAGTAAAAACATTTATAATATTACAGAAATGTTTTATTTCAAATAAATGCTGGTTTGAAATTTCGATTCATCAAAGAATATGGAAACGGTATTACATTTCCACAAAAAAAAATGAAGCTGTTTTTTGTTTTTTTTTACGAGAAAGTTTCTTGAGCACCAAATCAGTATATTAAAATGATTACAAGCTATTTTAAATTGTACAAATATTTCGCAAATTACTATTTTGTGTATTTCTGATCAAATTAATTCAGCATGAGAGACAGACTCCAAACTTCTGAACGGTACTATATTTCCACAAAAATTAATTTGAGATTTGTCGCACACGTTTCTGCTCACACTGATACCCTTCATAATGATGTTAACAACATCAGTCAAGGATGGGCCGCCCGACCCTTTGAAATGAGATTCAAAGGTTTGTCTCTTATGCCCTTTGAACCCAGAACTAATAAACCATGCCCAGTCCTCATTTTCCAATCAATCATCTTATGCTTTCCCGGCCATTTTGTATGTTTCATCACAGTGAAATCAATGATCAAGACCGTTATCACCACCAGGTGTCATTGCAGCCTCTTACTTGCTTACAGTATCTGATGATCCCTTAATGAGGAGCACCAAACCAATCACTGCATTTGTTTTTTATTCATCTCTGACAATAATACATGCATGAAGATGGCGATTTGAAAGGTAAATTAATTTAAATATAACTCTGGGATGGACACATGTTTATGTGCCCACCAGAACCATAGTGGTAGGCAGAGGTCCTGCTTCGTTAATCCTCTTTGCCAATCCTTGTGACCCTATAATCTAACTACAGTACATCTGATCACCAAGCTGATTAGCGAGGCTGTCTACAAAGCCTGACCGGTTCTGCCACGTACATAACCCCCGCCTCAACCCACCTCTGGCGTTCCCCACCGCTGACCGGAGAAAGATGGAGCGGAACGCTACACTCCCTCCCGCTCCATTCACAGCCGGAGAGTCTTTTATCTCCGCAGGGCTGCAATGCAGCAGGAACTCTTTGAACATGCGAGAAAAATAGTTTTCTACACCCCTCTGTAATGTTTTGTTGGGTAACCCACAGAAATGAGGTATACGCCCAGATCTGAATACAGCCATTATCAGTGTAGAGAGTTAATAGAGAATTGCACAAGCTTTCAATTGTTGACAGTGGAAAAACGAAGGGCATTATGAAAGGAACTTAAACACATATGTAGTCACATTCAAAAAGGACAAAAATAAACTCCCCCGGGTTGTCAGACGAGCGACACAAAGTTAGGGACGGTCGTGAGAGCGTCGCCCACCTCTAGCAATCTCTGCTCAATTGGACATTCTCTGCTGCACAGCGTCCGCCTCTGCGCACAAGCACTGTAGGCTCTCCAACAGAGCACGCAACTTAACATTCAACTCTAACAAGCTGTCCTACTGTGCCTTTGCAGAAACCAAGAGAAACACGTGTTCACGGTAATGCCAGATCTATCTGCTATCGTGCTGGCAACATCTCAGGGTGCGCTTGACTTAATTGGAGAGACACTATGATGTGGAATAGCCTCAGAGAAAGTCTCCCTCTGCCTTATCTGATACTGTCATAGTAGCGACCCACTTGTAATGCCATGTTTTTAGTCTTTCTGTCGAGTCTGTCCGCTTGAGATGTGGTCAGTGTTTTTAGTGTTAATGAGAGTTTAATTAAAAAGTTTTCTGTTAACTGAAATTAAAAATGAAACCCAGCATAACTGGAAAAAAAATCTAAACTCAAAAATAAAACTAAACTAAATTAAAATGGCCACTAAAATAACTAAAGTAAATTTAGGAATTAAAACTTTAAAAATAATTAAAAAAATATCTTAGGCCATGTCAGGGGTTTCAGCTAGAGTCACATTAAAGTGACAAAAAGGTCAAGGAATAGTGGTTAGCAGTTAGGATGCTAATATGAGAAATTTGAATTTGAATTGGGCTTGACATATCTGTACCCTTAACTTTTATCCATAATTTCCTGTTCTCTCTCAACTATAAATCAATAAAAGTGACAAAAACAGTCACATCTGTGGCTCAGGACAAGGAACCCAGGTTCAAGTCAAACCTGGGTCCCACTCCCTGTCTACACTCTACCTTCCAATCAAAATAAGTCCAAAAGTCCACAAAATAAATCTAGATAACTGTCCAAAAACAGTTGGATACTGTAGTAACCTCCATTCTGCAGGTTTCACCCTATCTATCCATTTGGTATCAGCCAATAAATTCTCACAAGCATTTCCACAGAATGAATGTTACCAAATAGCCATGACTGGCAATAAGGCCAAGAAATAGAAATAGAAAACAAAGCATATGTTCTTTACAGGTTGGACAAACATTAGCTTGCAATGACCGAATGGACCTCAGAGGCGAATAAGTGAGGACTTTGATCTCTAGCACACATTGGTTACATAACTGACGTAATCTTAGTCTTGTGATGTCTGGAAACACTGAAGATATTACAGTATGGGTGTGGACGAGACATTTTCAGTGCCAACTTTTGCAGTTCTTGATTTGCACACAGCCACCCAGGCAGGTTGACTGCTGGAATCAATAAAAAGCTCATTAGCTTTTCCAGTTGACCCCACATTCGACTCATACATAAAGTTACACGCTACAAAAACAACTGTACACCCCTCCCACCATCCATGGGTGTACAAGTCCCAGAGCAGCACGGGGAAATAAGCTTTGGTAGGACGGAGGCCCAGGAATGATTTCA